TATAGCTTATGCATTAGAAGACATGCAATTTTATTAGTGTAGAGATCCATTCACGAATTATTTGGATCAAAAATAGGTAGGAACTAAATAGTTTCACCATTTTTTAGTATTCATGGTCACCCTAACTGCCACTAGAGGGGAGAGGGGAGACGTGTATGCTCGTCAGCAAAATTTTCAAAGTTGAAAATTTGATGCAGTCACATCCGTTGCTTTTTTGCTTGTTACATGAGCTATTCCAGTTAACAGACAGTTAACTGCAATAGGTTTGCTTCCTCTTTTGGCTTTTGCTGTTGTTTTTTCCAGTGATTTTTAGTAGGGAATGGATTTTAAAATTTCGCTGTCAAACATCATCTGTACGACTTTGTAAAAACTTCTTTATTAAATGTAGGGGAGAGTTCGGTATATTGTACCGCCGGGTAAATTGTACCACCCTCATATTTCGTAAAGTATTTATTGGATGTCTGTAATTGCAACACTCAGCGATACACAACTAAAATCAATTAATATCGGCCATGTGGTTTTTGCCGTGACAACAAACACGTGTGTTTTATTTTGAAAAGTATTTTTTTGTTGTTTTCAAGTAACTTTTGACAATACATGTTTAGATTGTAATTTTGTTAAATTTAATCACAGGGTGTTTCTAATATGTTATTTAGAAGCGTAAATTAGTGTGGATTACAATTTTTTGAAACATTTTTCGGTATTTATAAGCTATATTTTTTACCGATTTTTTAAAAGCACTATCACCTAGTCGGCTAAATTGTACCACATCAAGTTGTATGGAACTTTACCAAAGGATTTTGACATTTTTTTAGTAAATCATATTTTGAAGTTATAATAGCGTAGTTATGTTTGACTAACAATAAATGAAAGCAAAAGACTGGCAAAGTACATTAGGTACAAGTGTGCGTTACGATAATTGGAATTACAAAACTTGTACTCAAAATCGTGATAACGTGTAAAACAATATCGATTGTCTATGTTATTAACTACTGTTCCTTTTCGTTTCCTAATTTGTTAAGAATGTATCGTATAATATTTTGCCATAGTTTTTTTATAGGCTTGAAATTTATTGAAATCAAATTTAGTAACCCTGTGGTACAAATTATCGAACCGGTTGGCTAAATTGGACCGAAGCTCTGAACTCGTACTTTGTTGATTTGTGCTAAATATACAACAATCATGTTAATTAATACTTATGAAATAGTAAGTTGAATAATGTATCTTTTATTATATACCATGGACATTAGCAAAAACAAAAGAAAACTATGTGTAAAATGGGATTGAAAAAAACTGGTCCAAATTAGCGGACTCTCCCTTATATCATTCATTTTCAACCAACATTATTCAGAGTCTATTAGAATTAGGTAAGGCTGAAATGATCTGTCAAACTAAAGACCCTCTTATACCTAACAAGAACGCGTTCCATATTTGCATAAATACTTAACCACTTTAAATTTGCAGTTAGTATGAGAAGCCTTAGTACTTTTTAAGTTGGGATAGATCATCACAAACTCTCAGTGCGGAGACCAACTCAAACTATACCGGTTACACTAGTTACCTACTGATCCTGTAGCTAGACCAATTAGTTAAACTAGAATATTGAATTTTTGGAATATTTTCATTATACTAAAGATATGGTTTAGATTAGCTAGCATCTTTTTCAATCTTTATACTAGTCGTTGTCACGATTACCATTTCTGATTGCGGAAATCGATTGGACATTTACAATAATTGGATTCGCAAATTGTCAACCGTACCCATTATTACAGCCCAACGGACTTATTACCTAATTCTCACCTTTGCGTACGTTTGTAGAATACATAAAACGGACCGGGTTTGATTTGTAAGAACTGTCCAAGCTAAATCATACTCAATTTTATTCTACATAGAGTTTTGAATCGCTTTTTTGATTGCGACAAGGAAAAACCACAATTTATGAGAAAGTTTTTACTGAATATTATTTTGTCAAAATGTAGTCAGCCGTTTTATTTAATTTTAAAGGTTTTAAACTTTGGAAAGAGTTAATTTTAAACTAACTTCAAGTTTACCAAATCTATACTGACAAATGGAAATATACGTTGCTGTCCAGAGGACAGAGATGGTCTTTCGATCCGAAAGTCCTGGGTTCTATTCTTTTGTGAGACATCAATAGAAAACACAGTTGAATTATCTAATATGATAGCATAAGAAAGAAGTGTTGATTATAAGAAGGCAAGAATTAGCAGATCAGACTCTGAATGCTATATTATGGACAAATCCCAGCAGAGTTGATATCAAGTATCAAGTTTGTTTTCTCTCACATTCACACACATATCACCACTGTGACTGACAAGTTACGCGATCTATATTTGATTTATACGGTTTTAGCCACATTTATCTGCACAAAAGAACTAGGTACAAATTGGCATTTTTTCTAACATAAAATTGGAATTGTCTTGTGTATGTAATCCAGTGATTTGTATAAACATACCTTTGATTTTAATGAGAAGTAAAAGTAACTATAAGGCGTCAGACAATCTCTGATTGAATCAATATAGTTATTAAAATTTTCAGTCAATTAGAACGGCCTAAAAATACGATATACAGGGTGTAAGGTAAATGGGGTTATAAGCTGACACTAGTCCATGTTAACATGTGCATATAAATGGTATAGTGAAGTCAGAAAATTGATATCATCATTGTAATTATTTAAATCATATAAATCTGATTTTATAAATTTTATTTTGTATGAAAATTAAAATGATATAAAATTTCTAACTTCACGTCACATCGGCTTATAACCCCATTTACCTAACACCCTGTATATTACTTGTGTAGGGTAAAGACTGAGGCCTATCTTACAAATTGAAACTTAACAGCAGCTGTATCCGCTCTACCACCGCACAAGTTCTAACATTATAACAAAATCATGAAGAAGAAACTTTGGTAATCTTTGTCTGGTTCGAGCATGCAAACTTTGTTTGAATCCAGTCACGTAAGTGCTTCTATTTTTAGAAAATACGATAAAATTCTAATCGCATATATTTTATATGTACTCGTATAGGTAGGTTCTTTAAAGGTATTATTAGGCTGGGTTGCACCGTCATACTTTAACTTTAACAAACGTTAAAAATCTGTCAAACTCCATACAAAAAGCACCGGTTATCGTTATAGTTACCCACCGTTAAAGTTAGGTGGTGCAACTCAGCCTTTTTATTAACAGGTAGTGCCCTGGCCCAGAACAGACGAACTGCAACGAAACTGCAACTGCTAGTTACTTTTGAGTTGCATCTAAGTTTCTGCCATAGCGTCCGTTGAGAGACCATACATGACGCGACCAGTTTGAAACTTTCAGTTTCAGTTTCATTCATCAGAATCATCAGAAAGTTGCAGTTTCGTTGCAGTTGCGTTTCACCGTCTGTTCTGGGCCTAAGTTTTAAGTAAGTATTCGAGGAATTTATTCAAAACTTACACGGAATCCCTAAGGCATAGCTAGGGACCAAAATATATTGGAGAACTTTTCAAAAAACATATCTTATCACTGTCGAAAATGTTTAAAGTGTTTAGAAGACTTTTGGGACAAACTAAAATAGACACTAATAATATTTTTTGTTAATGTTGAGCAACATTTCGAAGGACGTTGGAATATGCCAGGGTATAATAGAGCATTTATTTGAAGTTGGAAAATATAAATATGATTTTATTTACATGCAATTCCAGAATAAGACCTTTTCTTCGTAAAGGTCAAACTTTTTAGATGTAATTGAAAACATCTTATTTACTTTCCACAATGTTTTCTTATAAAATACTTCCAGGAACGAATTATAAATAAATTGGGAAAAGCTATTATTTATAAATGATTCGATTATTTCTTATTATCTGTGAAACGTTTGATGCCGGTCTAAACAATTATTTTCAAGAAAACGATTTTCCGAGTATCTTAACTTTGTATTCCTGGGAATTGCAAAATAATGGGCGAAAAAATTTTTATATTTTTATATTTTTATACACAGAAGTTTAAAAAAAGTTTTAATTGCCAAACCAGGAAAATAGCAAATCTTTTAACTACGAAATCCGTATTAAGCTCCCAATCTTATCAAGTTGAAACGAAAAGTGTCAGCTTTCTATACCGACACAGTGCACTAGTTACAGAGTAGTTTCAACAAGCCCATTTCCCACGGTCGGGCAATTCGATGGAGCCTCCCGAGACTGTGTTATCTCAGAGGTTCGCTAATTTACACGCCACGAATGAATATTTAATGGAAGTGTGTCACCCCTGAAACCCTGAAATACACGCCCTTCCTGCTGCAGACTAACTCGAGATTAACGCACTGAAACGGCGACACGAAACGCTCGCGACACTTAATAAAAGCGATTAAAAGGATTAATAAGACAATTAAGCTCAACAGCTGGAATTAAGGCGGATGTAAACGCATGCTCAGATTTAATCCAATCTTCTGTAAATTCCGAATCAACAAAAATGTTTTTGTTTGTAATCTCGAAAACAATCCATGCATTGTCGAACCTTTAGATACGAGTACGAATACTTCAGTTTCCGCGAATTAATCTAAAGAAATGTTTATTTTCCGCTCGACCGGAGCTATGAAACCGAATTAGGAGTCCTCGAATCAGGCGGCAGGAGTGAACGGTTTTTCCTACGGAATACGTCTACGGTTTTCCACGTAGGCTACGCGGAGGGGTTGCGGTGGGGAGGGGATTGCACGCGGGCGAGAGGTGGTGAGAGGGACGCAGCCTCCCTTCCCGGCAACGATTACTGATTAGTATAGCAGCGTGTGCGGCGGGGCCGCCCGCTTCGCTCCGCGACATGCCGCCGCGGTCCCGACAGTGTCCCATCCCTAACCTCAATGGGGTCATGCTCTCTGCTCGTCTGAGAACCTAGCCTGTTGTTCTTAAACTCTGTCAGCTCTAAGGCGGGTCCGTCGCGTGAACAGCTGATCGAGTGACCGGCACACGCCTCTCGGTTTACACACTTACTACGATTGTGCGATGTTGTATATGGATGTATGTGGCTGACGCTTTCGGTTAATGTGGATGTGATAGCCGTGTTTCTTCACCGTCTGGACAAGGTAAGTGGATGAACCATTTTCATTCATAATATCTGAAATAATCGGGAAATAAGACAAGTTTATGTGCACTACACGTGCTTGGTCATGCAGGAGAGGGCAACAATGAGCCGAGTGAAAGGGACAAAGCATCCGAGTTGTATCTTTTTGATTGACTAATTCTGGATGGGAAATTCTTTGTTTTTGATGTTTATTGGAGGATTTTCTATGTAATGAAGATTCCCGTGGTTTTCGTTACAAAATACTATGTAATCAACCAAAAAATAGTTCAAAATGCGTTGTAAAGGAAGCCAAACCCTTGTGCCTTCGACAACAAAAGATGTTTTATGTATAAATAATGTAATTAAACTCTAAAGTCCCGAAATTATGTTGGATATTATGTAGAGACCTAATCATAATTAATTTATAAATAAAAAAGGCCCAAACTGAGAGACAAGGATTTATTTTACCTATTTTTAGGGATATTCTCGTATTTCTCTCTATTTATTATGTTGTGAAGTTATTTATTAGTAAAGTGAAAACTTTGCAGATTTTCCAATATTTATTGAAATCGGAAAACGTATTTTGAGAAATCAACTTTAATATTCACTGTATAGAAAATAAGTAATTCAAACTCTTTAAGATGTAATGTTTAACATGAGACTCATAAGTCTCATAGACTATTCGATCTAAAGTATAAAATAGATTTAAGTTTGTAAATTATTCGAAATTATGAAGACTCCAAACATTACATCAAAGACTTTAATCTGAGCTCAAGGTTATACAAACTACGTTTATAAATTAGCCTTATGATTGTTTGAACTAATTGGGAGTTCCTTTGAAAATTTCAATAATTATAATAGTTATAAAATCAAAAGCTGATAGAAACAATAAAGCTTGAAATCGTGCATATAGCCGCGCCTATATTAGCTATAGCTATCACATGAGTACAATATCCATACAACACCTATACTTAGTTGGTATACACATGGTATACCTACATGCACTTATCCAATCCATAAATAACTTGTACGAAAAACCTTGACAGTTTCAGTCATAAACTATCGTCAAATATATTAATATCTAAACTCCCCCGATATCCATAATATTCATCCTTCGCAAAGATCCAGAGACAATATTTGCAAAATATAAAATTGAAATGAAGGACGCGAAATCCGTAGCTGAGCAGACTGGCCCGACTCCGCTCAGGAAATATGGCGTCGTAAAAAAGAGCAGGATTTTGTTAAGCAGTCCCCACTGATTTTCTCGTAGGTGTCATGAAACGGATAAACACATACCTAAATTTCTTTTACGGTCGCTTATATTATACGCTTTGCGAGGAAAAAGGTGCGTCGATGGATTTAATCAAGGATTTATAAACTTTATGTATTATTAAAACGAGTGTTTACCTTTTTCGTCGTAAATTTTAAAGTACTTACGTAAATTACAACGTTAATATTTGAAATTAGTTTCATCTCTTGAAATATGTTGGACAAATTAAAAGATTCCACATTTCAAGCTTTCTCAAAACTGTGATCAAAAAGCTTACTTTGAAAGTTTAATTTCTTAATTGCACGAAAAAAATATTTTATAATTTAACAACAGTTTTATAATTTTATTAAATAAATATGCATTAAAACTTTATAGAATCAATAACCATAGACACTGTTACTGCATGAACTCTATATCGGTTTTTATATCTTCCAGATTTTAGCACCGCACTTGTGTACACGAGTATATTACCCAGCTTAATAACAGCATGAAGCTGTTCTCTATACGTAATTTGCACTATCTTGTTTCATCTCCGGGGTTCAATTGCACAAATTGGTTGGCAACTATCAATTTATTGTTACCAGGTAGTGCTCAGCGTGTTAGAAGGGATAATTGGAGATGTGAGAGCACTTTTACGTGACCCGACGCCTCGATGTGGCCACTTATCAAAATTCTGAAGTAATAGTATTCCATTACATGCTTTTATTTAGTTTAGAATCTTTTGATGTCTGTAGATAATCTAGTTTTATATGCTTTGGAGGTTCTTGGAGTTGGATAGAGTTTGGTTATTTTTATGTTAGTCTGACAGTACAGTATGATGTTGTCTGTAGCTGAAAATACACAAAAAGTTTGTGGTTTATCAACTCCAGCTTCGGTTTACCTATAGATAATTTTAACTTGGATTAGCAGAGCTCACATCAAGTAATTTTCACAAACGCTGTTTTAAAAAAAGACATTTTTTAAATGTAGAGTCGTGAAGTGTCTGAATTCAAATGTCTTAAAAATCTTTATTTTTACGATCTTCGGTTGTTTTTTGGGCGTCCATCAATTTCTGAACAAAGCATCACCCTGATTCCTGCAGGCCATTATTAGGTTTGTGTAACATATGGGGTGTAAGTTATGTTAACTCACACGTAACGTGCACGTTTCACAAACGCGTCTGTAACGCAATTTCAACGCCCGAAGCGAATTGAGCACCAAGTATGGCCAGAGGGCGCTTTTGATGGCGGATTAAATTATAACAGGTCAATAATTTAATCCTGAAACTTTCATTCACGTGGCCGATGAAAGGTCCTTTGTGGACACCAAAATAAAACTTAATTTCAACGGGTTTACCCAATGTCAATGTAGGGCAAAAAATTATGAGACATGTAGTCTTCTAAAGAACGATACAATTTCATCACTAATTCAATTAGTTCAAACAAATAAAGACATTTTTTGATTTTGATTGTCCAAGTAGAACGGTCAGAGCAGTCGCCTGGCAAGTGAAGGGTGGTAGGTTCGATTCCCACGTCATAAGGCAATTCGATTTTTTCAATTATTAGAAAAAGTAATTGACATTGTATTATACTTTTGAATTGTTGTTTCCAACCAAAAGCTAAAACTTTATCAACTCAATCAACAGAATTAGACAGTCTATCTAAAGCCGATTGATATTGAGTTACAGACGAATAATAAAATTATTATTTCAACCTTGAGTTAGGCTAATCTAGATTCTCGTAGGTCTAATTGAGTTAATACTTTCAATCTTCTTTATATTGTTTTAGTAAGTTATTTTCTAAGAATAATGTCTACTCTCAAGTGCCTAAAGGCGAGCTGTCCTGCTAATTTGTTTTAGTGACGTTAATTAGTTAGAGCTTCTTCATTTATAAAGTAAGACCCCGAGCCTATTTATAATCCTATTGTTGTCCTGGAAAAAGTAGGTATTATCTAGCACGTTGTACTTTTTCAATACTATTATTTTTGACGGCCATATAGTTCTATTGGACTATTTGACAAGCACATTTAGATATTTTTTTTTACATTAAATCAACACATTAAGGTTCAAAATATGGTGACAATATTATGTAAAAGATAGAGCCCTAAAACCCCGTCATAAAAACTTTCGGGGAATTTAACATGGCTATACGTAGATAGATAGACACACTTTATTGTATGTATACCACATAAGGCCCCGCGCCCACAGCGACTTTTTGTAGCGATGCAGTACCGATTCTGTCGCGCGTTCGCATCGATACAGTCGCGCTGCTGTAGCGCGTTAGTAGCGCGTTGGCATCGTTTCTGTAGTGCGTTGCAAATGCGACTAACGCGCGTTAGTAATAATATAATAATAAATAATAATATAATAAATCTTTGGACAATTTCACACAGCGCCAGCTAGCCCCAAAGTAAGCAACTGAATGCTTGTGTTATGGGTGCTAGCTTAACGGATATACTACATATATACTTTTTTTTTAATACATAAATATTATACATAATCACACCCAGACCCGTCACAGAAATTAAAATTCATCATTTCAATTTCTGCCCGGCCGGGAATCGAACCCGAGACCTCTCGGCATAGTAGTCCGTTCTGAACCACTACACCAAACGGCCGACAGATATGTCGGCCGTTTGGTGTAGTGTTTTGGTGTAGTGGCCGTTTGGTGTGTGTAGTGTTTGGCGTAGTAGCAATGCTGTCGCGCGTTTCGTAAACGAGCGACAGCATCACTACAAAAATTTGCCGTGGGCGAGGGCCCTAAAGACAACAAAAGAAAGATAGAAAAAGAGACGGCACAATTTAGGTAGAAAATACATTATGTTTTGCACTTAAGTTTATTTTTTTAGATTGTTTTTTAACTTTATTCACCACTTTACTCGTATTGTCCTCTAACAGCAGGTTTGTATACCTATTTATCGATCTATATGCAATAATAGGCGGCGTTAGATTACAATATCCCGCATTATAGGAAGTTTGGGAGTGCCCTCGACACAATGGGTCGTTATGATGGGACCAAAAGGGCCTTTATAAGAAATTTTGATGACTGGCCGCAATAGGCCGTAAGTCAAAGTCCCGGCCAGAGTTGGCCTGATGTAGGCCAATTACACTTCTTGTGAGAACATTAGCCATTCTGTCATAATGACTCGTTAAATTAAAGCTAAAGGCTTTATTAACGCCTCTATGAGATAGAGTTACTCGAGAATTTAAGATAATTATTTCATGATACTCAGAACACATGAAGTGGTGAGCGAGTAGGTCATATTACGAGTATACGAAACATTTATGAGTATAAAATTATATAATTTGCCTTTGCCTGTATTTTACTACATTTTCCGGGAAACGCAGCGTGAGACGTCCACCTACAAGGTGGACCGACGACATCGTAAAGGTAGCAGGAAGGCGCTGGACACAGACCGCTACTAACCGGGCAACATGGAAAGCATTGGGGGAGGCTATATGTTTAGCAGTGGACGTCTGATGGCTGAGATGACGATGATGATTTACTCAATTGAAGTTTACTCATTCTCCTCTATACAGTTCGTTCGTTTCAGCCTAATGCCGTCTGCTGCTGGACAAAGGCTTTTCACTTAGTAGGAGGCCTGCCCATACTACTTCTTTCGTATATATAGTCTTACAAAACTGGCATGAGCACACCTTTTCAATTTCCAATATAATATTACAGTCATCGCATACACATACATACACACCCTAGGGTGTTACCGTAATAGGGTAACATTTACAGGGCGGTTAATTTGTATGGAAACGTCAGGCA